GAACAGGTGACCATGCAATGCTGTTATTTATTTTATTTTATTTTATTTTATTTTATTTTATTTTATTTTATTTTATTTTATTTTATTTTATTTTATTTTATTTGAATGTTTTGTCGTATCTAAGAATTCATGTATCTCCCACACTTTATTTATAATTTATTTATTTTTGGCTTTTTCATGTTAAGTCTATCTTCCCCAAAGCCGTTAGATGTAATTTACTTACCTTTCTATTACACACAAAAAATAATTGTGAGTAGCAGTAGTAACATTAGACGTTTCCTGAAAGTATCTACCACTGTATTGTCATGCTCTCGCAAAATAAGAACAAAATATGTCTGATGGACATAACTAAAACGGTATCATATGAGGTTATGCTAACTAGACTGAGAGGCAAAGGACAGGTGGTGTCAAATAATTGGTATTTCTTTCAAGTCTACCTGACTTCTCAGTAGCGACCCTTTTTTATTTGATCTTTTTTACGTACTTATTCTTTAATTATTATTATTTTTATTATTTTTTTTATTTCCCTCATCATCCAGGAACACCGTCTATTTTTGCTTTTATCCTTGTATTTATGTTAATTGTCTGACCGTGTGTTTTAAGCAGTTACTTTTTGTATACTATGCCATGCAAGCTTTGTATCGTAGTTGTTTAAGTGTTTAAAGGAAAATAAAAAACTTGAATAACAAAATATGTCAGATAAATAAAGCCCTGGGCGGCACGGTGGTGTGGTGGTTAGCACCTCCCAGCAAGAGGGTTCTGGGTTCGAATCCCGGGGGAACCAGGACCAGAGGGTTCTGGGTTGGAGTCCCGGGGGAACCAGGACCAGAGGGTTCTGGGTCGGAGTCCCGGGGGAACCAGGACCAGAGGGTTCTGGGTTGGAGTCCCTAGGAGAACCAGGACCAGAGGGTTCTGGGTTGGAGGCCCGGGGGAACCAGGACCAGAGGGTTCTGGGTTGGAGTCCCCGGGGGGACCAGGACCTTTCTGGGTGGAGTTTGCATGTTCTCCTGTGTCTGTGGGTTCTCTCCGGGTTCTCCTGCTTCCACCCACAGTCCAAAAACCTGCATGTTAGGCTGATTGGAGATTGGGGAAATTGCCCTTAGGAGTGAGTGTGAGTGTGTGTGGTTGTTGGTCCTTGTGTGTCTCTGTGTGTCCCTGTGATGGACTCTCCCCATTGGCCACTGGGATAGGCTCCGCCCCCCTCGACCCCATCAGGGAATAAACCAGGGGTCGGGAACCTGTGGCTCTTTTGATGATTGCATCTGGCTCGCAGTCCAAAAACCTGCATGTTAGGCTGATTGTAGATTGGGGAAATTGCCCTTAGGAGTGAATGTGAGTGTGAGTGGTTGTTGGTCCTTGTGTGTCTCTGTGTGTCCCTGTGATGGACTGGGGTGACCCCGCCTCTCGCCCGTTGACCAATGGATAGGCTCCAGTTCCCCCCGCGACCCCATCAGGGAATAAGCGGTATTGTAAAGGGCTATACAAATAAAATTGATTGATTGATTGATTGATTGATTGATTGATAATGGATGGATGGAAATAAAGCCCTAACACCTATCTGGGCCCTTCTGTTTGCAGCCATCATGTACGTGATGGGCGCCCTGGGCCCGGCGGCCGGATACCTGCTGGGCGGGGTCCTCATCGGTTTCTACGTCGACCCCAAAACCGCCGTCCACATCGACCAGAGCGACCCTCGCTTCATCGGGAACTGGTGAGTAGGGCTGTCACGGTTGTCCAGCATAAAGCTTGTTCCAGTCGTGTGCAGTGTTATGGAAAAAGTTCTTTAAAAGAGTGAGGCAAAGTTTCCTAATAATTAGAGAAGATCAATCTTGTCAAATAAAGAGATTTATTCGAAGGCCAGAGCGTTCGAAGACGCAGATCACAGAGAAAACTCAAGTGAGTGCGCGCCTGAACAGAAGGCACGTCCCCTTTTATAACTTCACTGTGTTTCTTATCAGCAACAAACAAAGAGATTCTGATTTACATTCAGTCCTCAGGAAGTCCTATGGAGAATCTCCAAAGGGAAAAAAGCTATGCATATTCTCAGGAGACAGGAAAGGGCCCCCATGTGGATTGGTCAAAAGGAAAACCTTCTCAGGTGTGAGGGTTTCACAAAGGGCAAGTAATACAATTTCAATGATAAACAGGAATGGGAGATTCATTCTTGATGGGATTAAGGAAATTGTTGCATTTCCTAGTGGTGCTAAAACCAGTCTTCAGACGTGTGAGACGACTCTCCCTAAGGCAATCAACAACAGTAGCTTTAACAAAGAAACAAAAGAAAATTCTCAACGACAAGTGAAACAGACCAAATGCAAATCTAAAATCTTAAAAGGAAGTGAACAAGCATGTATGCAAGGTGCTGTAGCTTAGCTGGTCAAAGCGTCTGTCTTGTAAACAGGAGATCCTGGGTTCAAATCCCAGCAGTGCCTGAGTCCTTCATATGACTTCCTGTTCTTCACACAGTTAACTCTAGTGCTTTAGCTATAGAACAGTGTGTTCTCTAAACAATTATTTGTGTCCCTAAATTTCAAGGATACTTTCTTTTAAGTTTTTTTATTAAAAAGATTACAAAATAATGGTGGCACGACGGTGTGGTGGTCAGAACTGTCACCTCACAGCAAGAGGGTTCCCAGTCTGAGTCCCCAACAACTTTCCTAACAGCTTAGTGTTTCACACAGGTAACAGAAAGTCACACCAACTGGTTCATGACTGGATTTGGACCTGGTCAGTGTTGTGTCTCATTTATCCAGCTGTCAGTGAAGTACACCTACACTGCTGGCCTGAAACACACATGCAGAGA